TTTTTCAAAATCCCTCTCTTTTCAATGGAACTATAGCCCTATATTAGGGTTAGGGGTGTGTACCAGTGTAGGGTTGGGGTTACAAAAATGAGGTATCCTGGCATGATTTGGATGTTTGGAATGTGTTTAGAATGGGCAGAAATGATGAGCAGTGCAGGAAAAGCTACTCAAGAAAGGCTTTTCCAATATTCCCCCGTTTTCAGTGAAACTTAAGCCCTATATTAGGGTTAGGGGTATGCACCACGGTAGGGTTAGGGTTACAAAAATGAGGTGTCCCGGCATGATTTGGATGGTTGGAATGTGTTTAGAATGGGCAGAAATAATGAGCTGTGCAGAAAAAGCTACTCCAAGAAGGCTTTTTCAAAATTGTCCTCTCTTCTAGAGAAAAGGTAGAAGCGTGAAGACTAAATACAAATAGATATACATAAATTTTATAAATAGTGCTCTTAAAATGGAAGGAAGAATTGAATTATTTTCTATGAAATTAAATGGATTAAACTAACCCTCTAAGTGGAAAAGGACTTTTTCTCAACTTAAAAAGTGAAACTAGATGTAATTTGTTTACAAGAAACACATATAAAAAGACAACACCATAAACTCTTGAACGTCCAAAACTGGACAAGTTATTTATATCTTCTGCTCATCAAAAGAAAAGAGGTTTGGCTTTATATATTAAAGAAAAATTGGATCCTAAGTATATTCTTGCAGATGAAGATGGTAGAATTCTATTGGTTGAAGTGACAATAAAACATAAAAAGGTGCTTCTAGTGGCAATCTATGCTCCAAATGACCACCAAGAAGCTTTTTACCAAAAACTACATACTCTTCTCTTACAAACTGAGTATCAAACCTTGTGTTTAATGGGAGACTTTAATGCAATTGTCGACAAAAAAATAGACTATTAGAGTGATATTAATGGAAAGAAAGGAAGGAGAATACTTCCATCTTTAATATATTAAAGGAATTTAGACTAAAAGATGTTTGGAGACACAAAAATATAACTGCTGCCAAGTATACTTTCTACTCAAATAGACAAAGGTCATGGTTGAGAATTGATATGATTTGGACAACTCCAGATTTAATTCCAAACTTATTAGAAGCTGAAATAGATACAAATGTCTGGGCTGATCACAATGCTATAACCATGACCTTGAAAGGAACAATAAAAATACCTAGATGGACATTCAATAAATCTTTATTAAAAGATAAAAACTTCAAAGAAGAAATAACAAAGGAATTAAAATTCTTCTTCCAAGAAAATAAAGTTGAAGAAACCTCTCTACAAAATATCTGGGATACAACTAAAGCATATGTTAGAGACTTGATTATAACCTACTCAGCAAAAATAAATAAAAAGAGAATACAAGAATGACTTAAACTAATAGATGAGCTGTTGAAGTTTGAACAGGAGTTACAGGAAGACCCATCAAAAAAGAACCTCAAGATACAGATGAACACTCCAAAACATAAACTGAATCTTTTATATACAAATGAACTAGCTAAACAAATGAATTGACTAAACAGAATTTCTTTGAAAATGCTAACAAACCAGGGAGATGGTTGGCCTACAAATTAAAAAAGGAAAGAGAAAAGAGATTAATATCTAAGTTGAAGGACGGCAAAGAACAACTACAGGTACAAAGTGCATCAATTAAGAAAATAGTGGAAGATTTCTTTACAAAGTTATGCCAAGCTAAAGAAATGTCAATTGAGAAGGTTTATGAATATATTCAAAAGGAAAATCTACCAAAATTGTCAGAGAAATATCAAAAAATATTAAATGAGGAAATAACAATGACAGAAGTAATTGAGGCGATTAAGAGACAAAAGAATGATAAAACCCCTGGTCCGGATGGACTACCAGTGGAATTTTATAATTCTTTTGAAGGAATTTTATGTACACCTCTAAAGGATACATACAATGCTATATTGTCAGATGCTAAAATACCAAATACCTGGACCGAGGCAAATATTACTTAACTCCAAAAGAAGACACGGACTTGACACAGATCAAAATTAGAGACCTATATCACTTTTAAACGTGGAATATAAAATTTTTGCCTCTGTAATGGCAGAAAGACTGAAGAAATACTTAACAGACTTTATACATAGAGATCAAAATGGTTTCTTACCTAAGAGACAAATTAGGAACAATGTGAGAATTATTTTGGATATCTTAGAATACTATGAAATCCATTCTGAAAAACCACTAGCATTATTGTTTCTAGATGCACAGAAGGCCTTTGATAATGTTAATTGGAAATTCATGAAACAACAATTAGTACAAATGGAATTTGGTGAAAAATTTATTAATGCAATAACAAGCATTTATCAAAAACAGACTGCTAGGATAATAATCAATGGAGAATTTATGAATATCATAGACATTCAAAAGGGCACAAGACAAGGATGTCCTTCATCACCATTGTTATTTATATTGATTTTAGAAGTTCTAAATAGAAATGTTAGAGATGATACGGATATTAAACGTGCCAGAATCAGAGACGAAAGCTATAAACTTCAAGCATTTGCAGATGATTTAGTTTTCATCTTAGAAGATCCTATAGTAATGATGCCTAAACTTTTAAAAAAGATAGAAGACTATGGTGAAGTTACCAGGATGAAAATAGAGAAAAGACTAAACTGCTAGTGAAAAATCTTACATTGGAGCAAAAAACAACTGATGGAGCAAGTAGAACTTCAAAATGTTAAAAAGGTTAAATATTTGGAAATCTTTCTTACAGCTAAATGCGCTACATTGAAAGAAGAAAACTGTGTTAAACTATGTAAGGAGATTAAGAGGGATCTAGAAAAATGGGCTAATTTGCAGTTTTTTTAAATCATCAAAAAACAACTCACAGCCAGTCTAAGTAAACACACACACACACACACACACACACACACACACACACACTTGGCAGCACACTGACTGGCCACACGAAAGCTCATATGAGTTGTGGCTCGTGACATCATCCCCATCACCACTACTCCTTTCCGAGCATGCGCATGGCCCCTATGTGCTCTGTTATCCGATGCTTGGCTGCTGGGGCGATGCTGGGGCGACTTGCCTAACATGCCAACAGAGAGGGCTCTCGTGCCCGCTGTGGCACGTGTGCCATAGGTTCACCACCACTGCCCTATACTCTCAGATGGTCTCCAATTGCATCGTGAATGCTTCCAGTGTGGGAGAGCTCACATCCTCCCTAGGTAATTGGTTCCATTGTCATACTGCCCTAACTGTCAGGGAGTTCTTCCTGATGTTCAGGCAGAAACTGGCTTCCTGTAACTTGAGCTTGTTATTCCATGTCTTTCATTCTGGGATGTTCGAGAAGAAATCCTGGTTTTCTCCTTTATAACAACCCTTCAAGTACTTGAAAAGTCCATCAGGATATGTCCTACGAGTATCTTGGTAGTGCTCAAGCCTCCATCTTTCCCTGACTGAAGCACCATAGTTAGACAGTCAAAATTGGCTATCCAGATTATTTGCAGAGTGGAAGAGATGGAGAGGCTAAGATCATCTCCATGCTTGTTCTGCCCTGCACAGGGTGCCCCATAATTCTCTGAGTTCAGAAACTCGAATTCATCCCCACTGGATTACATCCTAAATTGATGTAATGAGCTCTCATGGTATCTGGATAGATGGCCATTTTTAAAGTTGAGTGTGTGGGGTAAGATTAATATTATATCTCAGATAGTTTGTGTTATACATGAGATTCTGCTATTGATACCAGGGAAATATTTTCAGAAGCAGTGCTCTGTTTTGCAAATTTTGAAGGTATTCATCTCCACCACAAAAATCCTTGAAAAGGATGAAAATTTCAATTAAAAAAGGTGGCTTTGGTTCTGGATCTTACTTCATATAATTGGACTTGTTTGTTGACCTATATTAAATGTTGGTCTTTTCCACTTAGATTAGATTTTCTATGTTGGTCAGTTTTGGAATCTTCCTGTCTGGATCCTTTTTCCAAATGGATGAAATTAGATTTGCAGCACATGAAAATCCATGGGGTCCTCCTACAGTTGCAGTCATTAGAGATATGTGGAGTATGATATTTAATTTTTGGTACATTTTTTCATGCTAAATTGACTCTGTAAGAAAATCCAGATTTAAAAATTGTTAAGTTTTTTTGTGTTTGTTTTTCTTGGAGGGATAATTCCATTTATTTTTACCTTAGATCAGTTAGTGGGTGCTGATTAGTTGCCATTTTTGGCTTTTTCTGCAAAATATGATTTGCCTACCACAACTGGATGGCAATATTTGCAGCTGCAACATTTGTTAGAATCTAGGTTTGGCTGTACTAAGATCATGGCATCCGGTCCTATCACTTCCTGGCAAGTAGATGCGGAAGAAATGGAGGTAGTGACAGATTTTATTTTCCTGGGCTCCAAGATTACCGCAGATGGGGACTGCAGCCAAGAAATTAAAAGACGCTCCTGGGGAGGAAAGCTATGGCAAATCTAGACAGCATACTAAAAAGTAGAGACTTCACCCTGCCAACAAAAGTGCGTATAGTCAAGGTTATGGTTTTCCCAGTTGCAATGCATGGCTGTAAAAGCTGGACCATAAGGAAGGCTGAGCACGGAAGGATTGAGGCCTTTGAATTGTGCTGCTAGAGAAGACTCCTGTGAGTCCCTTGGACGGTAAGGCAATCAAACCAGTCAGTCCTAGAGGAGATGAACCCTGACTGCTCTTTAGAAGGCCAGATCCTGAAGATGAAACTCAAATACTTTGGCCACCTAATGAGAAGGAAGGACTCCCTGGAGAAGAGCCTAATGCTGGGAACAATAGGTCGCAAAAGAAGAAGGGAACGGCAGAGAATGAGGTGGCTAGATGGAGTCACTGAAGCAGTTGGTGTGAGCTTAAGTGGACTCCAGGGGATGGTGGAGGACAGGAAGGCCTAGAGGAATGTTGTCCATGGGTTTGTGATGGGTCGGACATGACTTCGCAACTAACAACAACAACAACAGCAAGGTTTGGCTGTACCAATGTTATAGCTTTAGCGCCTACTTCACTATTAGAAATATGCACAATCCAGCTTTATGAATATTATCAGTTAATAAAGATGATACAAAGCTCTTCTGCAGGAATGGAGTAGGGAATTGGGCAGTCCTAGACTGCCTAAACAATGGATTGCTGACTTAGTATCTGTATTTGAAGCGTCCACTGATCACAGGTTATGCTATATTAAGCATACGCCACAATGTCTCTTTAATAAGAATTCCTCTAAATAAGCTAACTGCTGGAAGTGTAACATAGCTAAAATTTCTTTTAACTATATGTTTTGACAAAGCCCAACAGTTGCTTCTTTTGGGGAGGAGGTTTTACAGTCTTAGAAGGATAAACACTCACCTTTCGTAATGCAATAGATAGAATTAATGACTCCTTCAACAACATGTGAATTGGTATATACAAAGACATTTGGTTTGCCTTTGTTAAAGTTTATGTTTAATTCTTATAAAGCTTTATTTTATATTTAATATAATTTAACCCTCAGTGAGCCACAGTGCATGTGGCCACCATTATGAATGCGTTGAGGCCTGTTGTCCAAAAGTGGTCTTTGGGGTTATGTGATATTTAAACAACTTCTGCTTAGCCCTACCAACCTAATGCTCCTAATGTTTTACTCTCATATAATCCCTCATAACATACTGCAGCACCATCAAGAACTGCATATTCATAATGGTGGCTGGGTGTACTGTGGCTCATTATGGGTTAGAAAGCCTGTGACAATTCTGTTGTCTCGTGTGAAACCAATCCAATAGCTCTGAGTTGGACTTAGGATGGGCAGGACACAGAGATCAATAGCTTAATTCTGCATAATGAAGGGATATCTAAGTGAGGCTCCTAGCTACTTAACTGAATTAAATCTAGTTAACTTGAGCATTGCAAAATCAGACTATAGAAGAATATTCAAAATAAGTATGCCTGAATTGTACTGTAACAAATGTGTAAATTCACTCTTTGAGGTATTTCCTGTACAGTATACAGATACTGTTAAGTCTGTTACAGCTTTTCTATCACACAGTCTATGCCAATAATATGTTTTTGATAATTTATTTTAAACAAAAGCATGTGTTCCAGAGAAGAGAATCTTCTGGTAAGCAAAGAGCAACATAGCTGTGGGTTTGCATATTGTGACAATACTATGACTCGAGACGGGTTTGAGCCAATGTAATGTAAAGATGTTTTTTTCCACAGGCTTACTTTTGTCATTTTTCTACAGGAATATACAAGCAAAAGGCTGAGGCTTGAGGAGCCTAAAAATGTGGAAGAATTCGGGTAGTAAATAACACACACAGTGCCTTCTGGACTATTGCTAAGATTCTCACAGTTTTCAGAGATCCAAGGCATTGCTGGGTCCAGAGTCGCCGAGGAGATCTGGGATCCTTATAAACTGTACTTCTGTGCAGGTTGATTACTGTTTGCTATATGCTTTTTTTTACAACCAGCTTGTGTCATCTCTACAAGGCTAGTAAACAACAACTTCTTTTGTTGGCTGGAGCAAGAAATGGTTTCCAGTTGACTAAAGAGGGTTCTGTTAAAACATTCCAGGTATGTATGTGCAGAAAGGTTACTATGAAACTTTTCAGTGAGTAAATTTTTGAGAACTATTTGAAAGGCCGCATTTTACACTGACCCTTGGGTCAACTAGACCTCAGTGTTGTGATGTAGGACTGAATTATATAAAATTGTCCTCATGGAGTCTAAACCATGCATGATTTTAATACTACATGATTCCTACTTTTTAGAGAACCAAAGTATCTTGTAATTTTCCTGAAATTAAAAGACACTTTGTCTCACTGCTTAGGAAAGGAAATGTTATTTGAAAGTGCAGTGGCAAAATAATCCATAGTAGTCTATAGCACAGGGAGATAAATCAGCAACATGATTCAGAGGGAGTAGCTTTCCCTAGGCACTCTCTCTTAGGGAATTTGTCAGAAGGTGCATGGCTTTCACTCAGGATTATGCATTTAGGTAATTCCATTACAGAGCTGCTCAGCAGGTCCCACATGCTAGTTTATTGCACCAGGTAAATATATACATCTGTTAATAGTGATAGAAATATGTCATTTGCTTTTCTCCCCACCCCGCTCCACAACCTCTTTGCAAGATGAATATAAATATTTTAAATGGCTTGATTTATTTTTGCATACATTTTTCTAGATGTTGAACAGACATGAAAAATAAACGTTGTGGGAATACCATCTAGTAGACATGGAACAAAGGGGAAAATAGGGAGATATTCCCACTACTATTTCTGAGTGCAAAGTCAGAGAAGAGTAAGGCTAACTCCCTGTCCATGTGTTCTGTGCTTTTCTGTGGAGACTAAAAATAATAATTAGTTGAAATTATTCAGTAAGCAAATGAGGCCTTCCCACTCCCAGGAGAACACTCAGGGCTAGGCAACCTGGTGCCTTCCAGGTGTTTTGAACTCCAACTACTATGAGCTTTATCAGAGGTTATGTTGGTTGGGGAGATGGGACCAGTAGTCCAAATCATTCAAAGAGCACCAGTTGCCTTTTCCCTGAGTTATAGGGTACAAAACACATCCCAATTCAAACTTGCCTGTTCCCTTTCTTCGGTGGTTTCATTATGAATTCAGATAATTGGTATGATATAATTAAAAGAATACAAATATTTTAAATTATATTCCCTCTGCCTATGTACAAGTCAGAACAATTGCTACAATATGGAGTCACTTAGCCAGCTTTTAACTAAGTGCATTACAATCCACAATGCTCACATAAGAAAAATGAGCAACAGAAAAATGAACAGACTGTATTTGTAGCACTGTCTGTTAAATACAGAATGTCAGGATCTGAGCTGCTTTGGTGGCCAGATGCAGAACAACTACCAGGATTAGTCCCAAGCCCTGCTGGAGCTCTCATTCTACTGATGAGCCCCACCTGGGATTCCTGGGGGGCGAGCTATATAAAAGGCTATATAACAGCAAGCTCTTACCTCCAGAACTGGTCTCAGCGACACAGGTCTTCCTGTAACTGTGGTGCCTGCTCCTTCCCTGACTGTTCTTCCTCCTGGTTCCTGCCTTTCCATGTTGACTTGCTGTTGTGGCTACCCCTTGTCTGACCTATATTCTGCCTCACTGTGTTGCCTTTTTAACACAGAGCTTCCTACAAGCTGTAGTTCAGCTCCAGCATCCTGCCATGTTGTGTCTCCTGACCTGTTATCCTGTCCAAGGTATCTGCACCTCTGCTTGTCCTCCTGGTTCGCAACCCTTGGCCTGTTCCTGACCATGTCCTTGTTTTGCCCTCAGGCACTGTCCTGGTTCCTGACCTTGACCTGTACCATGACTGTGACTTGCCATTAAACCCTGTCTTTGGACCCTGTCTTGCCGGAAGTTCTGTTGTCCTGGTCCTGGTGTCTGTTGCCACAGCCCTGTCTCTGACCACCCACGTCTCGGCCACGGACCTCTGTACATTTCTGTGCAGCAGAGCCTTCCTTTCTGCAATGAAGAATATCCACATATTTTATGAAAGTAGTCTCAATTAATGGACACACCCTTAATTGTAGAATATCATAGCCATTAAAGAACATTTTAATTCAAATGGACTCTTCTTGTTTCAAACCTTCAGTCTTGTAACTTTTTCCATTTGATACACTGATTTTTTTGGCCCAGGGTTGCTAACGGGCTTAAAGATCCATAGAACAAGCACCAGCTATCCTACGCATCCGATTTTGAATCTGAGGACATTGGTCTTAGATGTTGCTCAGATGTGCTGCATAGGCCATGAACCTGATTGACGTTTCCTGTACTGCTGCTCCACACAGCCCCGTTCTCGATGGTCAGTCCATTATGTAACTCTGCTTGAGCTCCACAGTAGCCCTGCCTCTGCTAAGTTTCACATGAGTCAGTACAATTCCATATACCCATTCCCAAACTGAACTGTTGGTTGCAGTGGCCTGCAGAGAGGATCACCTGGCACCAACACTTTATTCTTTTCAGTGCCAGGCCAAAACTTTTTTATTTTCCCAGTATTTAAGGTTTAGATTGTGATTTTAATTAGGGTTTTATTGTACAGAATTGATGCTGTGCTTTACTTTGTTTTATTGTAAGATTGTCCTGAGACTATTCGGTAGAGGACAGTATAGAAAAGTGTTAAATAAATAAATAAAGTAGAATGGGGACAGTGGGGTTTCACCCACATTATTTGCTACTGAAAGCAGTGGAGTGCCATGCTTTGGCTATAGTTGTGAAGAGTCAGAACATGAGACTTCTGGCTTTAAGTGCCTCCTAATTTCCCCCTGTAGTTTACTGTGGTAGAGTATTTCCCATCATACTAGTGCAAAAGATGTGTCAGATAGGATAATACAAAAAAATGAGAAAAGACAGCATAAATGACAACTGGAAGCAGTTAAGAGGGAAAATGTGAGATCTAAACATCTATCTGCAAAAAGTAGCAACTGAAAACAGGAAGCTTGCTGGAAAATCCCCATAAGATTTGTAACTTTGAATCTTTGCTGCCTAATGTCAATATTAGTAGAATCCCTATTATCTATAAAGAACAATATTAAGACTGCATATCTTTGAAGTAAAATTCTATGGTAATGTCCAAAAGCTGTGAAGAAACTATACTGTAAAACTGCTTAAGCATTTAATTGCAACTATCTCTTTAACAAGACAATAGGAAAGAATTAATTTAAACTTGTAAGGAGAGACATGATAGAGATTAATACAAGTAAGGATGGTGTAGACAATAATGGATAAGACATTTTTCTCCTGTCATAGTTCTGAAACGTGGGGTCATCTCATTAAGAGAGTCAACACAAATACTTCTTTACACAGTGCATAGTTAAACTGTGGTATTTGCTACTACAAGATGTAATGATGGATAAATTATATGGCTTTAAAGGGGAATTGGACAAATTAATGGGGAATAAGGCTCTCAATGACTATATGCCACCTCCAGGGTCAGAGACACGCTGCCTGTGGATACCAGGTGCTGGGAACCTAGGCAGGAGGGTACTGCAGCCCTCATATACTGTTTGTGGGACCTGAGGACAGCTGGTTGGCCACTGTGGGGACAGAAGTCAGGACTAGGTGGACCCTTGGTCTGATCCAGACTGGCTCCTCTTATGCTCCAAAGCACTGGCACAGATGAGGCTGAATCTTGGGACCAAGTTTAGAGCCCCATAGCCCAGCCCAGACACCACAACAGACGACGGGGGAAGAGGCAACACAGGCATGGTGTCACCACGTGGGCTGGCACAGGCATGTGGCGGCTGACACTGCTTGCTGCGGCATCCTTCCCTTCCTTCAAGGGCACGTTAGGGGATAGACACTAGGCAAGTACATGGTTACTGATACTCAAGACGCTTCCCCTTTTGTCAGAAAAAGTGCTTGTTCCCATGTAAGCATGGAAACATAAGCAAACACCATTTTATTCTAGTAGCATCCTGATGCTATGGTTTACATGTATAAGGTAAAAAATTAATATTCTGCCCATACTCAGAATATTAATTTTTAAAATCTGGTCTGGCAAATAGTTTTTTTTAAAGCTGTTCTGCTCAAATATATCAGGAGTATAGAAGTGGTTGTGAATCATGGAATGCCAGTGTGGGAAGGCAGGGAGTTAAAGAAGAGTATTTATTGTGTGCTTCAAGGATGTTGTCAAAAGAAATTGCCTAGCTGGCTAAGGGCTAAACTTCACATGGAGTTGATTGTGCAAATTCAATTAACATACTGGTTTTAAGAAAAGGTCCAATAGAAATATGCCTCTCTGAAGCTGCTATTTGCATAAAGAGGCAAGTCCGACTTGGCACCTCAGCTACGTCTGTCTAATATGTCTGTTTATCTAACCTAGGGGCATTGAACCACTCGCTGTCAGCTTCAGGGCCAAATTCCATTTATCTGGATTTCAGTGATAGACCAAACAGAAAAGGGGTGCAGCCAAAATCACAAAACATACCAGTTTGATTTAGCTTAAAGCACTTACTGTTGGCACTAAACCTGAAGGAAAGATCTTTCAACCTTCAGTATGTCAGGGGACCTGCACAAACGTGGTGAAACCAAGAAGGGGTGGTTTGGGGAAGGGAAGGTTGCAATCTCGGCTAGATTTGGTTCCCAGGCCTGAGATCTGGATTTAATCTGTTGATCTGTTTGTCTCTTCTTTTCTGTTGGTGTGCATAGGAGCTAGCAACATAGCTAAAATGTAATAACTATAAAATAAGCAACTAAAAACATCAGCATAGAACAAATTATACATTAATTCATTTAATTTGCACATTACACAGTACAAATTATCATAAAGTCATAGTGAAAGCAAGCAGCATCAGTATCTGAATTTATTTATTTATTTAAACAACTTACAGGCCACCCCATCGCATGAGCCTTGAGGCGGCTTACAATCATTAAAATCCCATATAAAATACAAAAAATTCATCAAATAAATAAAATAAAATACAAAAAATAAAATAAAATGGTGGATCCAGCCTGGTCAATTTAAACCAACAAATAAACCATTAACAGTTAAAATAGCGTTTAAATAAAAAGGTCTTGGCCTTTTTGGAAAAACAAATAAGGACAGCGTCAGGCAGACCTCTCTGGGAAGCGCATTCCATAGGTTGTGCACTTAAGACAGCCTAAGTAAGAATGTCTTCTGTTTCTGACAAAGATGGCTCAAAGCAGGCAGCCTGATGGAGGGTATTTGAGACCTCTGGCATCAACACAAAGAAGATCTTGTCTCCTGTGCTTATCCAGTTAATTATCAAGAGTAGGAACTCTGAGGCTGACTTTAACAGCCCCATAAGCTTACTGGAAAGTAGGTGGCATCTAAGGAAAAAATGTTTCCTAGAAGATACAGAGATTTACAATGCAGTCCTATGTGGTTGCTGTAAACTTCCAAACTTAGATTGTTACAGGCAACCAAATGAGTTCAGGAGAGGCACAGGGGTGAGGGTTGCTTCTGTGCCCTGCTGCCCTCAAAAATATGTAGACAGCTGATTTCATCCATCTAAATGCTTTCTCCTCTTCACAAGAAGGGGCTGATGCACCACCTGGATTTAACAGAAATTGACAGTACCTTGACCTCCCCCCACAACATCCCCAATGCCTCTTCTAAGGATGGAACCTCAGCCAGGGTAGAAAGAACCATCGCCAAAGGGTGTGGGGGGCCTCCACAGGAGGATTTCCTGCAGCAACCATGGAAGGCTTTTCCTATGGCTGGCCAGACCAGCAGCATCTAGTAGCCATAGGAGTGCATTCTTAAAGGCTAAAACCTGCTCTTTGAATTGCTCCTGGAAACAAATAGATAGCCAGTGGTGCTGGCAAAGGATTGGAGGTAAAATATTTCAACTTGTGGGTGCCAGATAGACTGGTTGCTCCATTTTGGCTCAACTGAAACTTCCAAACAATTTTCAAAGGCAGCCCCACCCCATGTACAGTGAATTACAATAGTCTAGCCTGAAGGTAATCAACAAGCGGCTAAGTGGTTAGTTCATATTCTCTATAAGGGTGTTTTCAGATGAGGTTTTATTGTGCAGTTCCTCTACCTCATCCATGACGTTTTACTTGCATGCAGTTTTTTTTTTTCAGATCTTATCTTCAATTTGTAGCCTTCCGATGTTGTCCCCCTCTGAAATTCATTGGAGGGGTGCTGGCCTATCCTTTCCTCTGCTACCAACAAATTTCCTGCCAAAATTGCTGCACTGGAAAAATGAGTAATTTTGCTTCCAAACAAGACACTTGTTCCCTACCTGCCTTACTTGCAAGCAAACTCATCACTTAGTTGGTCACCATGAGAAACAGTGGGGGCTAAAAATAGGCTATGTGGGGTGCAAGCAGCCTACATGTTGCCGCATGCCTGTTTCAGATCAAACCTTTGCAGGACTCGTTCAGCACAGCCTTGAGAGACCTACCATCTTGGTAGGAACAGAACTACTTGAAGAGCAGTGCTGTGGAATGTAAAGCTAATTGCAATCTACAGAAACAACATCAAGGTCTAAATTATTTTTAAGGTCTCACTGGAAACTGAAGGGCAACCTGATGTCATTAGATGTCAAACTGGTATATATTAATGAGATGATGTGGTTGTGTTCAACCTTTGGAAAAGGGAGATTACTGAAAAATCACAGAATGGAATGAGCCTTCAAGGCCAACTTTGAGCAACAGCAGGATTCTCTATACAACACCCCCAACAAAAATTATCTCTTAGAGGTTCCTTCAAGTTATGAACATTGGCAGGGTTCAGAGAGAGCTGGGATTCAGCACAGACCTCAAATGGAACCATTTTGTATAGACTGACAAGCCAAAAGACTAATTGTTAGGAGTCCAACTAGGTTTGTTAGCTCAGAGATCAGCCCACACTGATTAGGAACAAATGCTTGAACTGGGAATACAGACTGCAGCTGGGGAGCTATTATAATTATATCTATTTATATCTATTTTTTTATTTATTTAAAACTTTTATATGCCGTCACCACACGCCTCGGCATCTTGGGACAGCTTACAAACGTAGTATTAAAAAAAACAGCAAGAAATACAGTAAATTATATAAAAACAAAAACAAAAAACAAGCGACTGTTAACGATAAAATTAATTTTTAAAATA